TCTGCATACAATCGGCATAGCAAAAGTCTCGTTTTGCTAGCCGGACTGGGGCACTAATCACTCCCAAATCTTTTCCGGTCAACCTTCCGTGATGCCAGCTGCTGTTTTTGTGGACAGCTGTTCTCACCCTTACAAGCCTATCGTTGCAGTCAGAAGGTTTAGGAACTCAAAGATTTAAACATTAAATCATCATACCATTTTATGTTCTGGTTTTATTCCTGTGAAGTGACAGAAGGTGAGCAGTTTTCCCCCGAACGCCATCACTCTGCTAAACAAATAATTCCCTCAACACTGTCAACGATTTAGTAAGTCTGCACTACTATTAATCTTCTCATCTTCTCATTGTTCCCATCACCCATCTCCTCCCCCTTATGACTGTATGACTGTAACGTTGTTGCTGGTATACTTACGATTTATATTGATATTGATTGTTTCCTGATTGCTTATTTGTTCCCTATGACTATCATTAAGTGTTGTACCTTATGATTCTTGATGAACGTATCTTTTCTTTTATGTACACTGAGAGTTTATGCACCAAGACAAATTCCTTGTGTGTCCAATCACACTTGGCCAACAAAGAAATTCTATTCTATTCTATTCTATTCTATTCTATTCTATTCTATTCTATTCTATTCTATTCTATTCTATTCTATTCTATTCTATTAATGTCAAAACTGAACTCAACTCTTGCTAACCAACATAGATACATTCATGGAGTCTCCTTGGCAAAGCTACGGCAGGAATTCGTCCTTATCTTCCCTTGAGATTTTTTTTTAAATTTATTTTTACTTCTCAGTCTAGCCTCTAGCAACTCCGTCTCCTGATGGCTTCTCACATAAGGACCACCCAGATTTCAACTTGCTTAGTTTTTAAAGATCAGCCAAGATCTGCTTAGGGGAAAAAAAAAAGGGTGTTACTCATGAACCGATTTCGTCTTTCCTAGCAGCTTTTGCAAAATGAAAAACGTCAAAAACGTAAGGATTGTAGAAACTTAGCACCCATTCCTCTCCTAGAAGAATGAAATATTTTGAGAAATATTTTTAAAAGGCAGAATATTATATTTCCCTGCATGAGAAATGGAGAAACATGCTCTTGGAAAGCAGCCCCCATCTTCCTTGATAGCCCACAACAGATGTCAGCACTTAAGAGATAAAGAGACAGATAGCTCTATTCATAAGCCAATACCCTCACCCAAGATCCAACAAAGATAGGATTAGCCCTCAGCCACAATAGGAATTGCCCAACAAGCCCCTTCACTGCATCATCCTCAGAAACTTCAACCAAACGTAGTTCAGACAAACTCCTAGGATTTGTACTTTGCCTATAGAGCCAGTTATGACCCCTACATGACCTCTACAGCTTCTACCCATGGACTGTCAGATTCCTAAACACAATCACAATAACTCCACGGAAACGTATGACTTCTTTCCCCCCACCCCAATTACTTGTATAGGGATTATTCTCTATGCTATTCATGTTGTCTTGTATTTTCTGTTATGGATTGCACCAGTAGAGGCTAAACCGATTTCGTTGTATACATGATGTACAATGACAATAAAGGCTGCTTATTATTATTATTATTATTATTATTATTATTATTATTATTATTATTTACTTTATTCATTAAACATGAAACTCAGTCAAATGAACATTCAGAAATGCATCACAAATACCATTGACCGGTGCTAATGGTTGATACGAATTGTTGCCAGCGTCCTAGGGATCAACCAAGTACCTTCTTAAAATATATGATGTTCCGAGTAGCACAGTGTTTTGCAGTTCCACTGGTGTTATTGCAGGAAGCTGCAATTTCTTCAAGTATTTTGTGAAATTCTTGGACATGGTACCAAGCGCCCCGATGACAATGGGTATCACTGTGACATGTTTCATCCATAGCCGTGTAGTTTCAATGGCCAGGTTGCAATATTTCATGATTTTTTCCAGTTCATTTTCTTCGACTCTGGCATCTCCTGGTACCGCGATGTCAATAAATTGTACGTTTCGGTTTTCGACAACTGTGATATCTGGCGCGTTGTGTTCCAAATGACGATCCGTCTGTATTCGAAAGTCCCACAAGATCTTCACCTTCTCATTTTCTATAACTTTTTCCACTTTATGTTCCCATGACTTTTTGGATACATCATCATCATCATCATCATCATCATCATCATCATCATCAGTTAATCTTTAGTGAGATTCACAGCCTTTGAGGCTGGTTAATAGCTCAGCAGCTCGAGTCCTAACCAAGGACCTAGGAACTGTTAAGGTATCGTCGGAGGATGTAAGCTGTTCTGAGTAAGGTAGTTTTTTGTAGAGTCAAAACATTCAAGTCCGGCAAATTTAGAATTTCTAAATAGCGGGGTAGCCCTTTGGGTATTGCTCCAAGGGCTCCAATTATTATTATTATTATTGGTTAATCTTTAGTGAGATTCACAGCCTTTGAGGCTGGTTAATAGCTCAGCAGCTCGAGTCCTAACCAAGGACCTAGGAACTGTTAAGGTATCGTCGGAGGATGTAAGCTGTTCCGAGTAAGGTGGTTTTTTGTAGAGTCAAAATGTTCAAGTCCGGCAAATTTAGAATTTCTAAATAGCGGGGTAGCCCTTTGAGTATTGCTCCAAGGGCTCCAATTACAATCGGGACAACACACGATTTCTTTTTCCACAGTCACTCAACTTCAATTTGCAAATCCCGGTACTTTTGATTTTTTCTTGCTGCTTATCTTCAATCCGTGCATCACCAGGTATTGCAATGTCAATGAACCATACTTTTTTCTTTTCAACTATTGTTATGTCAGGTGTGTTGTGGACCAAGTGTCTGTCAGTCTGAATCCTAAAGTCTCACAAGATTTTGAGTTTCTCATTCTCTAAAACTTTCTCAACCTGATGTTCCCAGTGGTTTTTGCTGTACTCAAATCCAAACTTCAAATCCAAAAAATATCATTATTATTATTATTATTATTATTATTATTATTATTATTATTATTATTATTATTATTATTACATGGCCCCATGGAAGTCTGACAACAGCTAATAGAATACATGTCCTTGCCACAGGAACAGGAAGCTCAACTGCAAAGCCCAAGAGAAGGTATAAAAAAACCGTTCAACCATTTTTCCAATCAGCCTCCAGCCTCCATTTTGTCTCCAGTGCCTTTTTCCCAGCTTGGAACTGAAACCAGATGGATATTTCTTCCAACTGGATTGAGTAACTAAAGACAAAATAATCGGATCTCCACAAAATATGAAAGGCAGCGAGAAAGAAACTTCTACCTATTCAAATCTATCTTCTCTCCCAATGATACGGGAAATTTTAACTTCATATTTGTACACGTTTGTGTGTTACAACCCATCCGTGAATCCTACCTTGTTGGGGTGTCATATGACAAACGACCAGACAGCTTTTGCTCTCAGCCTTATCAAGAACATCTATTGCAATATTTTTCCCGCCTCCCCCTGCTAACAACATCTGCCAAATAAGTCATCGCCAGCGCAGGTGTGTTTCGGAACAACAATCCCTTCTATCAGAGGTGTGCGTGAATCAACAAATTGATACACGTTGAGATGGGAATACCAAAGGAAACTCAAGAAAAGTTTCATTGATGATCCATCTCAGCCAGACGACTGTCTAACAAATTGGCTCCCATTTTTTTTTTTTTGGGAAAAAAAAAAGAGATAGAATCCAGATTGGGATTGGTTAGAGTTTATTTTCCAAATTTAGCAGGGGGTCAAAAATCTAAGTTTAGGGGCAGGAAGTACAGGATAATGAAAGTCATAAAATGCTGAAAAGTAAGTAGAAAGGAGATCAAGTATCCAACCTTCTAAATTATAGGAATTCAAGGAACTTGGTTTGCAACCTGAATTTTAGGAGAGTCGGTTGGAAATAAGGCTTACATTTTCAAAACAATGTGTAGGGGATTATGCAAATCCTGTCGCTACCGGTTCGCTCACGGGCGCATGGGTGCTCACCCACAATGCTTCTGCCCATGCACAGAAGTGTCCAGGCAGGTGGCCAGAACCTCCCGCCCCAGCGACTACCGGTTTACCCGATCCGGGGTGAACCGGTAGCAACCCACCACTGGACCAGAGGCGCCTTACATCCCTGAAAATAATGGAACATGTAAGAGAATTGTGGGGTCCCTGATAATCTCTGAGCTTCGTTATTTTCTTGCAGACGTTTCATTACCCAACTAGGTAAGATAATCAGTGATAGAAGGGAGTGGGGTTTGCTCTCTGATTAAATTCAATGAACAGATCCAGCTCTTGAGCTGCAGAAGGAAGCGGTATGATCCTTCATGGACTATTTTTTTTTTCTTGAACGAGAAAAATAGCAGATCAGGAAGAAGAATGTAAAGTGGAGGTTTTTTTTTTTTGATTTTGGTTTTAACTTGAAGGCATTTTTTGTACGTGCCATATTTCGATTTAAACCTTATAAACATAACACCCATCTATATGAAATATCTTGGCTGATTGTGCAAAACTAGCTCAGTCTCTTATAAACTTACAACTCCATTCTCACGCTACAACTGGAAACTGGAACTGGAAAATTGGAGACATAAGAATAGAATAGAGTAGAGTAGAGTAGAGTAGAGTAGAGTAGAGTAGAGTAGAATAGAATAGAATAGAATAGAATAGAATAGAATAGAATAGAATAGAATAGTTGGAAGGGACCTTGGAGGTCTTCTGGTCCAACCCCCTGCTGAGGCAGGAAACCCTACACCACTTCAGACAAACGGTTATCCAATCTCTTCTTAAAAACTTCCAGTGTTGGAACATTCACAACTTCTGGAGGCAAGTTGTTCCACTGATTAATTGTTCTAAAACAATTAATTGTAACTGTACATAAAACCAGGACAAGGTCAAATTTTGCCCCAAGACATTAGAAGTATTCAACTGCTTGTCCCAAATCCGGTTTTCCATCAAAACATTTGTGTATTCTTTTACCTCCTTTAATATAAACCATTTTCAACTCAAGTCAATCAAAAGCATTTTCGTAAGCTTTACCTGTCGGCTGAAGTCTAAGCCATTCCGTTCATTTCCTATAAACCAAAGAGAAAAATCAGGATTAGTATTTTAGTAAAAAAAAAAAAAAAGCAAATGATTACGTTCTCAATCAAAATGCTGCTAATTTCTCTCCCCTCGTGATCTGGGTATTTCAAAGGATGTTGATAGTTCAATTTCTTCATTGATTATTTCAAGAATATTTCGAATCCTTCTCCAAGCAAAAGCTTTGATCTTGCTGTAGCATTAAAGGGACCAGATTTTGGCCTTTGTGAGCCAAACTTTTTTAAAACATACTGTGTTTCCCCAAAAATAAGACCAGGTCTTATATTAATTTTTGCTCCAAAAGACGCATTAAGGCTTATTTTCTGGTTAGGTCTTATTTTGGGGGAAAAACGGTACTAAATGCATCCATCTGGTTGACAATCTTAACTGGGGCTTATGTTGGGAGGTAGGGCTTATATTAAGAACATCCTGAAAAACCATGCTAGGACTTATTTTCTGGTTAGGTCTTATTTTGGGGGAAATACGGTACTAAATGCATCCATCTGGTTGACAATCTTAACTGGGGCTTATTTTGGGGGGTAGGGCTTATATTACGAGCATCCTGAAAAATCATGCTAGGACTTATTTTCTGGTTGGGTCTTATTTTGGGGGGAATATGGTACTAAATGCACCCATCTGGCTGACAATCTTAACTGGGGCTTATTTGGGGGGTAGGGCTTATATTAAGAACATCCTGAAAAACATGCTAGGACTTATTTTCTGGTTAGGTCTTATTTTGGGGAAAATACGGTACTAAATGCATTCATCTGGTTGACAATCTTAATTGGGGCTTATTTTGGTGGGTAGGGCGTATATTACGAGCATTCTGAAAAATCATGCTAGGACTTATTTTCTGGTTGGGTCCTATTTTTGGGGAAACAGGGTATTTTCAGTCATTTCGGATCCTAGAAAACACTGGTATATCACTGAACAGATTTTTTGAAAACCTCTTTTTTTTAACCTCGAGTATGGAATTTATTTTTAAAAGAAAAAGCATGTATTAACCTTATTGGCCTTGAAAAATGAAAGATAGCTACTACCCTGTTTCCCCAAAAATAAGACACCCCTTGATAATAAGCCCAATCAGGCTTTTAAAAATAAGTCCTGAAAATATTTAAACAATGTGCAGCCAGTCCCAGCCATTTCCTCTGGTTGGGGTTAGAGCTGGAAATCAGGTAAGACGGCAAGGGGAGCCCCGTCTTGCTCCATGTGCCCCAAAATAATAAGATCTCCCCGAAAATAAGGCCAAGCGCTTATTTTGGGGTTCATGATGGAGTCTGGAGGATCTCAAAGAAAAAAAAAAGGCATGAAACAAAGGTAAATCCAGATGAACCATTAAGATATGGGCCTCAGCCTTTTGCTCTCAAGATGTACAAGCTCACTCTCCTATTCTCACATGAAAGGAGCAGCTCTCCCTTCTCAAATCTAGGTTAGGAGAAAACTGGATGGGTTCCCACTTTGCTATAACCAGAGATTAAATATAATGAACAAGACACCATGGCTTGGTTGATATATCACCCTAGACCCGTGATGGCGAACCAATGGCATACGTGCCATATCAGTGGGCATGCGAGCTCAGCTCCGCTGCACATGCGCACACGGCCAGTTATTTTCAGGCCTTCTGGGCCCACCAGAAGTCGCCAAAAAGGCCATTTCCAGCCTCTGGAGGGCCTCCAGGGGGGTGGTGAAGGCTGTTTTTGCCCTCCCCATACTCCTAGAAATGTAAATTGTATTTAAGCAGCCCCTCCTTGCCATGTCTTCCTAGGTACAAAGAAACCAACAAACTTAATGAAACATTCATACCTCTGCTGTGGATAATGCCTAGCTTGGATCTGAATCTGCAAAGGATGAGTCATGCTGTTAAAGGGAGCGAGGGGAGAAAACGGCAGGGAAAAAGAAGAGAGACTCGGAGCACAGCACATACAAATAAGCTCTAACAAAGCCGGAAGGGCCTTATACTTACTGATTTTGCAAAGCTAAAGAAACTTTTGGTTTCCCCAGTAACCATGTTTGATGAACCTAGAAAACAGTCAAGAGGGAGGGAAGCAGCAGACGAAAACGTGAGCACAGAAGTAGATTATTTATAAGGATAAAATGGGAGAATATTGATATCCCGTGTCAAAATCATAAAACAACATCTCCATTCTCCATAAAGGTTTTCTTGAAAAAGGGCATCTTGTCTACTGTTGGGATTTAATTCTACTCTTGTGCTGTGCTCTTAATGATGCCATCAGAAGGAGAAAACTCCAACTATCTCTCACCAAAGAAAAAATGTCAACCTTCTGCTATTCTCAGTTGCATTGAACGAACACTTAACCCCATGTGCCCCTTACCTAGTGGCAATGCTGGAACTTTCAGCATTAATGGTGCAAGTCTTCTGGCAAACATTGTGCATTATTTTCATCCTCTTTTTGTTGAGTCATGTTACTGGCAAGGTGATATCTCAAGGACATAGGAGTCCTGGAAAATTCTGTTTCTCTAGACTCCCTATCCTTGGATGTCCTTCTGCAGTATTCTAGGTACAAACACAATGAAGGAAAATAATAGCATCTAATAAATCTTATGATATCTGCTCTGTCCTCATAGTGTTGTGCCTCGCCGGTGGCCAGCAGAGCTGGCAGCAGACTCAGACACTGAGGAGGTTGGGGAGAATATGGACCATCCTGGGGCTGGGGAAAGCTCGGACAAGGGGCCCAAATTTCATTAATGCAAAAAAGGGGGATTTAAAGTATTATTGAGCACTTTGACATCTAAAGGGCAATCACACTTGGCCTACCAGTCTCCAGGATCTGTGAAATGACAGAGTAATGAATGGTAGTAATAATTCTGTACTGAAATTATTCCGAAGAGGGAAAGAATTATAGATGAGTGGGTCTCTGCCATGTCAAGCTTCTTCCCCAAGGACTTTTAAATGATAAGGTTCAAGAGGAGAGATTTTCCTTTGCTGCCAATGACATAGTCTTCATTAAATGTGGGGATTCTTTGAGATCTGGGCCTAACAATTACCCTGCTGTATGGAAAACCTTCTATCATATCCCTGCAGATATGATTGCTTATCAGATAGTAAGAGGAGCTCCTTGGAGAGAAAGAGGGAAAATTATGTTTAAAGCTGCATTTTTTAAAAAATATATATTTTTATTGTTTACATATAAATATATTGAATACAGTGTAATTGTCCTGGCATTCCACTTGCCATGCAACAAAGGTAAAAACAAATAACATATATACTATTTTAAACAGTGCTAGTGTTGTACAGTTATTTTTGACCATCATATTCTAGAATGTCTATCATTCTAATAGCTACATTCTAATACATACATAGTATCTCTTTCCATGTCCACCTAACCTGATTCTTTCGCATTCCAACTTCTACCTCGTGTTTCTAACCATTGATAAAATCTATTCCATGTAGAATAGTATTCTGTATCTCCTTTATCTTTTATTGTTAGTATTAGTCTGTCCATTTCCGCATAGACTAGTATCTTCCTTATCGTCTCCTCCATTTTTTGATGCCCTTGGTAGAATATCATCCAAGGGTCTACAAGTTCTATGCTACCAATCAACACATTTAATAGTTAACATTTCTTTTCAGTTTAAACCATAATATATGCTTCTCCAAGAGCAAAAGAAAACCTCAGCACAAAGTGGTCAAGAAGAACTTCAAGTATGGTCATATGAAAATCCAGCCAGCCTGGATGGCCAACACAGATTAATTGGTCCTATCTATCTTTCATATCCCTTCTCTTCTACTTCTGCCATCTTTCCATTTCTCCTCCCCCATTAAGGTGCTTCTTGGTTGATATCTGAAATAGCAACTGAATTTTTCATGCAATTACTCATTAGAAATCAACTGGAACAGCTACAATAGAATGGTGATTCTTGAGAAGTTCAGGATTTATTTAGCTTTTGAATTTTACTCACCATATAAAATGTAAGTCCCAAGTGGTTTGAGTAGACTGAGGCCTTTACCAGTATTTTCACCGCAAAGGCAATCCAGGACAATATCTACACCATCTGCAGAGATTCTGCAAAGCACAGAAACACCGTGATGATACTTGCTACTCAATGTCATCATAACTTCAAACAATCAGAAAACAAGACAGTTGTTATGTGTGGACTACTTGTGTATCAGGTGCTAGGCTGTCCTGGGGAGGTGAAGACCCAAATCCACAAATACTGAATCTACAAGATCTCTTTAGAATTCCCATGATGTTATTTGAGCATTTCCCTCCCTAGACATTCTACTTTAGCCACTGTTTGAATCAGGGGTGAAATCCAGCAGGTTCTGACAGGTTCTGGAGAACCGGTAGCGGAAATTTTGAGCGGTTCGAAGAACTGGTAGTGGAAATTTTGAGTAGTTCGGAGAACTGGCAAATACCACCTCTGGATGGCCCCAGAGGGCGGTAGGAATGGAGATTTTGCAATATCCTCCCCCCAGGATTGGGGAGGGAATGGGGATTTTGCAGTATCCTTTCCCTGGAATGAGGTGAGAATGGAGATTTTTCAGTATCCTTCCCTTGGAGTGGAATGGGAATTGAGATTTTGCAGTATATGGAGACAAGTCCTGTTTATCTGTCCGTTGCCTTGATAGTGGCTCTAACTCCTGCCTTTCAAGGTCATTCCCAATGCCCTCTACAAAGTCTTTGTAGCAGATGAGAAAGGTAATGCATAAAGGTCAACTATTAAAATATTTAGTTTGGAGTAACCTATGGCTCTCTGCAGAGATACAAATAGCAGCCCAGCAGGTAGAATGATTTGGCCAACCTTGCTAATATTGAAAGGCAATGTAATGTCAAGTCTGCTTAGTGCTGAATAGGAAAACTTCAAATCAAAGAGTTGCAGCTAGACTGGGAGGTTTTTTTTTTAAGGGTTAGAAGAAAACAAAGAGAGCCTGATTCTTTACCAAGAAAACTACAGAGGCTTATTTATGGTATCTATAAAATCACCAGGAGCTGTCTTAAATTCAAAGGTGAAGTTGTCTTTACCATTGCGGATATTGTCCCCTTGTGAACAGGGATATTTTATTTGCCCTCACAATCAAGTATTATTTCCTATACTTTTATAAGGCATTCTATTGTTAAGAACCTACAAGTCAGAGCTGTTCAATTTTTTTAATCTTGCAATCAATTAAAATGAAAATACAGACCATCTACAGCAGGGGTCTCCAACCTTGGCAACTTTAAGACTTGTGGACTTCAACTCCCAGAGTTCCTCAGCCAGCTTCCTCAGTCTTAAAGTTGCCAAGGTTGGAGACCCCTGATCTACAGCATTTAGAAAATGGAGAACATACTTCTCTATATGTAGAGATGAAGAAACAAAATTCACTCTCTTCTTTTGATACTCTTCTTTTACTCATTCTGAACTTTCTTTTTCCCCCCCTGCTTTTTCTCTTCCCTGCCCTAAGCTAAAGAAGGAACAGTTTCTATAAGAAGTTGGAACATCTTTGTAGACATTCTTAAAAATTAAGCCAAAAACCCCATAAAAATAGGTTGTAGCCAACAGATGTTTTGGAGGATCCATGGAAGAAAATGCCAGACAGAATGAGAGTAAATTCATATGCTTATTTCAAATTTCATTGTGAGCTTCTTTAGAGCCACTTATGTACAAAAAAATCAAAGGCAAATGTGCAATGAGAAGCCAACTTCAGTGCCTATTCTCAAAAAGCAAATTCCATGTTGTAAATTTAAATCTACATCTTTCGGTCTGCCAGAACTCTGGGCTAAAATGTCTTACAATCAGCCCCAATGGATGCGGTTGATGGATGATGAAATCCAAAGAATCTGGATGGCACCAGGTTGCTAGGTTTCTGCCTTAAATTAACCAAATCTGTGAAAAACTAGCTTCAACCATTCTCTACATAGAATATATGCATCAGCCTCTACAGCAGTTGTTAAAAGATTGTTTCAATGGCTCACTTCAATTAAATAATGATGAAAATCACTGGTGCACTCATTACGGATAATTGTATTCTACAGAGTCTGAAGGGCATAAGGTGCACCAAATAACTTCTAACTCCCAAGACCAGCTTTATCTCATGACAATTGTTGTCTGAAATTGGTTAATAGCCGTTATGAGGATATAGGTTAAACTTACTGACCTAGATTATGGATCTTTTTTTCCCCCTTTTCTAGAAACAGGAAAAGCAGTGGGCATCTGATGACAAGAGAAAGTGATGGAATTATATTACATGTAAATAGTTTGCTAGGATTAGGATGTTATCTGGCCATACTAAGCTATGGAAAAATTGTTTATAAAGCTCATTTTAGTTCTGCACTTCCCCCAAAACTAGCAATCCAATTGCTGGTCAACACGTTTCACAGCACAATCTGTATGTTTAAAAGAATGGTGGAATTGCAGGATTCAGCCACATCAGTGAAACAAAATTTTGATAAGTATCCTTTAAGGAAGAAAGTTATGGATCAAAAGGTACAGGCAAAACAGACAGAAGCAATTTGTCTTATTTTCCATCCTGAGTAAAAATAGAATAGAATAGAATAGAGCTGGGAGCCCGCTGCTCAAGCAGGAGAACCTATACAATCTCAGACAAGTGACTGTCCAGTCTCTTTTTTAAAACCATCGTGGAGCATCCACGATTTCTGAAAGCAAGCTATTCCACTGGTTAATTGTCCTTACTGTTAGGAAGTTTCTCCTTAATTCCAGGTTACTTCTCTCTTTGATCAGTTTCCAACCATTATTTCTTGCCCTCGTGCTTTGTAGAATAATTTGACCCCCTCTTCTTTGTGGCAGCCCCTCAAATACTGGAATACTGCTATCATGTCACCCCTAAATCTTCTTTTCTTTTAGAGTAGCCAGACCCAAAATCTGCAACTGTTCTTCATATGGGAAGATGGGATTCTAAAGATTATACTTCATTATACTTCTAAAGAGAAGGAATTATTTTGCGACCCTGTGATCTGTACAGGGGGGCCTCTCTGATGAGAGCAGTTTGCAGATTAGCTCACTTAATTGTGATCCCTTTGCTATGGCATCCAACAAAATGGTAACAGCCACAAAAAGCAGAAGTACCAGCAAGGTTGGAGAAGAGGGAAAGCCATCTTTCAGAAGGATAGTGGGGGAGATTGCTAAAGGCAGGAAAATCCTAAAACAGTTCACTGAAGACTGAGCTTCTTGCAAAGCACGGTCTGTTTGTTAAAGAAAACCAGAATGTCAATGTGCAGATTCTGTAAGGATGCCACTCCGTGTGCTAATAACTGGGATCATCGCAGCCAATTTTTGCTATAATCTTCAGTTTATAGTTCTCCGACTTCAGTTCTCAGTTCTTGATACTCTGTGATCTTCTCCAAGTCTTTATCTTCTACTCTTCTCTTGTTATCGCCACATCAATTATCCACACTTCCTTCTTCTTATAGCTGGTGTGTTATGAGCCAAGACTTTCATCGTCATTATTACTATATTTTTTTTGCCTGTGCCCTGTGCAGTTGTTGAGGAGTGCTAGCTAACAGCATTTCTTTTGATCATTTTTCTTTTACAAAAGCCTGCTGACTAACCTCTCTTTTAAAAAAAGAAAGAAAGATGAAAGCAGAGGGGGGGAGGCAAACCTTTTCTTCTGCATCTATAACTTACGGAGTACATAATACTGTATTTGCTCTTCAAGAGAACAAATTATGCTCTAATTAGAAAGTAAGTGATACTCGTAACCTGCTCCCAGATTTCAGTTTCTACCCACTTACTCTGCGAGGCAAAATAATAAGGAACAAAGGCAGGAAAATCTCCATATTGGGGGTTGTGAAGATTCTATTGCACGATGTTATGATTTTTCCACTGTTTCTGTCGAACAAGCTATAATTCTGATTAAGTACGCAAAGTGGGGTTAAGACAGGGATGTCTTAGGGGTGCTTAGATCTGGCCTGTGGGACCGCCCAGGAAACAGCAAAGGACCAGCCCGCGTTCACTCTGCCAGCAAAAAGAAAGCTAAGGAGAGCCACGTGTGACCCTCCCAGGCTCTGTTTTCAGTCATGACGGCCTCTGCCAGCGAAAACGAAGCTCACACGCGGTCCCCCCCAGGCTCCGTTTTCACTGGCAGAGGGCTGCAGGAGGCCGTTGTGACTGAAAACAGGGCCCAGGGGAGCCACATGCAGTCCTCCGAGCTCTGTTTTCACTGGCAGAGGGCTGCAGGAGGTCGTTGTGATTGAAAACAGGGCCCGGGGGAGCCACGCGCAGTCCTCCAAGCTCCATTTTCACTGGCAGAGGGCTGCAGGAGGCTGTTGTGACTGAAAACAGGGCCTGGGGGAGCCACGCGCAGTCCTCCGAGCTCTGTTTTCACTGGCAGAGGGCTGCAGGAGGCCACTGTGACTGAAAACAGGGGCCGGGGGAGCCACACGCACTCCTCCAAGCTCCGCTTTCACTGGCAGAGGGGTGCAGGAGGCCATCACAGCTGAAAATGAGTGACATCGAGTTTACACAAATAATCTTGAGCTGGCCACGCCCATCTGTCTCCCATTTGATCTCCCAATGAGATCAAACATAACCCTGATGCGGCCCTCAATTGAATAGAGTTTGACATCCCTGGGCTAAGACATAACCGACAATGTTTGGGGATGAGGAGAAGAATGACAAAATGAACAGTACAATGCAATCATGGCCTTTTTATACAGGTAGTCTTCAAGCGACGACCACAATCGAGGCCAAAAATTTATGTTGATAAGTGAAACATTTGTTAAGTGAATTTGCCCTATTTTATGACCTTTCTTGCAACAGTTGTTAAGTGACTCACAGCATTTGTTAAGTTATTAACACAGTTGTTAAGTGAAAGAATCCAGATTCCCCATTGACTTTGCTCGTCAAATAAAAATAGATTATAGATTAAGGGAGCACAAAAATAGATTAAGGGAGAGGGTTTTTTTTTCCACATCTGGATTCCCTGACTACTATCTCTGTATATGTAAAAGAAAGATTCAGTAAAGCGAATATATTGTAAATGTGATAAATCTACCGGAGACCTCATAACATTTTATTTCCCATTGATAATTGGTTACATCGCTGTTATCCAGAAATACAATCTAGGAGTTGCCAAACAAAAAACCCCAAAACCACACACATTGTGAGACTTTTTCATTTTTTACTCTAAGAGACAATAAATAAAATAGGACAATAAAAATATTTTTTCCAAAATGAATTTGTCATCTCCATTAGCTTCTTAAAGTTCTCATTAACAATTTTCCACTCTCAAGTAAAATGCAAGCTTGCTCACTTACTTTTTAACTTCTTGGACATAATCCATATTTCGGTCAAACAGGTAGGTCACAGACTCTTTAATGGCCTCATGCTTGAAAGAAGAAGCCGTTCCAAAGACAGTAACATTGGGAACCGTTGAGCAGAGCTGAGCAATAGCTTGTCCCTACAAATGCATTTGTACATTAGTTGCATGGATATATCAAATGTGTTTACCATTCATTACTGAGACTGTGTAATTGGCTCTCTGCCAAAAAGTGACCTGAAAATACTTTTATTTATTTACCTACTGCTCAAAATCAATGTTAGGTTATGCAATGTTATGTCACCATTGGGCAATATTATGTTAGCATCGCTTGCCATTTTTGAACTCCCCCCCTCCCCAAGTTACTTGTAAACTGTGTTTAAATAAGAGAAATTTTGAAAAGTAGTATATTATTTTGATATATAGGTAAAGGTAAAGGTAAAGGTTCCCCTTGCACATATGTGCTAGTCTTTCCAACTCTAGGGAGCGGTGCTCATCTCTGTTTCAAAGCCAAAGAGACGCCTGAGACTGTCCGAAGATGCCTCCATGGTCATGTGGCTGGCATGACTAAATGCCAAAGGCGCACGACCACTGTTCCCTTCCCACCAAAGGTGGTCCCTATTTTTCTACTTGCATTTTTTTACGTGCTTTCGGACTGCTAGGTTGGCAGAATCTGGGACAAGTAACAGGAGCTCACCCCATTACGCGGCACTAGGGATTCAAACCGCTGAACTGCCGACCTTTCGATCGACAAGCTCAGTGTAGCCACTGAGCGTAGGATTAAAATTAGGGCCAGATTTAGGAGAACACTGTTGTTTCTAAGACATGATTGGATCAAAGAACCTCATATTGCCACTCGGCCACATGTAGCCACTGGTTAAGATGTTGTGTTTGTAGTTGTATGATTTGCCAAAGGTGACAGCAGTTACTTGACTTTAGATGATCTTACAAAAGCTAAGCAGTCAGATCAGACTACTAAGAGCTGCATGGGGAACTTCCAAGATGTTCTAGGGGCTATGATCTACACTGGGAAACTGAAATAAAAATTCATCTAGAAGAAAAGTGTAACCTCAATTCCAAGCGATGGCCAAGTCAAGATATATATTGTATTTTACCAGAGTACAAAGGTTTCTCATAATGTGAACTCATTGTAGATAGGAATTTATCTTTTAATGAAGAGAATCAATTGGATAGCTTCCTCATTTTTCAGGCCTTCAAATCTTAGCCAAGAAGCACTTAGCTCTCTGTGGTCACAATGTTGGCGCAAACTCTGATTACGGACCTCAACTGAACCTAGATTCCAAGCCCAGTTTAATTTGTAAAAGCATTAACAATCCAAACTTTCAAAAAGCTCCACTACAGGCATAAAGTACGTGCCAAATGTTGTATTTCAGCTGCAAATGGGATTCCTGGGGATTGAGAGAAGAGGATGTCTTTCCAAACTCAATTACCAGCTGAAATTGCAATGTTAACCATTCAGGTCTAGTTCCTTCTGTTTGCTGATGATTTCCAATCAACAAGGGCACAGAGGGAGCTGCCTAAACGATATTCAAATTATGCAAAGCCGTCTATTTGGGTGAGCTTTATGCAAATCGCCAGGGACCTTCATTTTTGAAATTGGAGATTTCAACATTTATTTCCTCTAAAGTCGTAGGGTGTTTAGGCTATTTGGGGGTTGGGGGGGGATCAATTCTGCCTTTTGTGTTCGAGAGTTCCACCTGAAGGTCCATTGTAAGAATATGCAAACTTTAGAGGCCAAAACCTTAAATTGCAACAGCTCCCTAAGCTTTTTGACAGAATAACAGAGTTAGAACGGACCTTGGAGTTCTTCCAGCTCAAGCAAAAGAACCTATACTTATGATGGCGAACCTATGGCACGCGTGCCACAGGAGGCACGCGTAACCATATCAGTTGGCATACGAGCTCAGCTTCCGGTAAGACTGGAAGTTGTCAAACGGACCATTTTTGGCCTCCGAAGGGTCTCCGGAGGGGTGGGGAAGGCTGTTTTTGCCCTCCCCAGACGCCTAGAGAGGTCCTGGAGCCAGGTGAGAAAGAAAAAACGGACCTACCAGGCCATTGTGTGCCAGGAGTGGGGTGAGCAGGCGGTGGGTGGGTCGCATAGAATTATAGGTATGAGCACGCATGTGCGTGACCCTCCCTGCCCCCCCTTCCTGGCACGTGATGGCAAAAAGGTTAGCCATCACTGCCCTATACCATTTCAGACAAGTGGTTGTCCAGTCTCTTCTTAAAAGCCTCCAGTGTTGGAGCACTTACAACTTCTAGAGGCAGGCAGTTCCACTGGTTAATTGTTCTCGCTGTCGGGAAATTTCTCTTTAGTTCTAGGTTGCTTCTCTCCTTATTTGGTTTTCATCCGTTGTTTCTTGAAAACTGGATGTGTTTTGGCAGGAAAGCAATCCATTGCATAACTTTTGCCTTTTATCACCTCTTAGTAAGGAAAAGACGAGGAATCTGAATAGGTAGATTTATGTTTCATGCAACTTTCCCTTTTTCCCCCAAGTGGCTAGGTAGGACTTCCTTACTGTAGGATGGATGTAGGGTGCCCCCTTGTGGTCTTTTGCAGAATCGCTCCAGGTCAATCGCTTTAATCATTCGACAAATTTTCAACAGAATAACAGAGTTGGAAGGGACCTTGGCGGTCTTGTAGTCCAACCCCCTGCCCAGGCAGGAAACCCTACACCACTTCAGACAAATGGTTGTCCAATCTCTTCTTAAAAACTTCCAGTGTTGGAGCATTCACAACTTCTGGTGGCAAGTTGTTCCACTGATTAATTGCTCTAACTGTCAGGAAATCTCTCCTTAGTTCTAGGTTGCTTCTCTCCTTGATTCGTTTCCACCCATTGCTTCTTGTCCTGCCATCAGGTGCTTTGGAGAATAGCTTGACCCCCTCTTCTTTGTGGCAACCCCTCAAATGTTGAAACACCGCTATCATGTCACCCCTAGAAGCTTTTGTCCCTTGGTTATTTTCATGACATGTTGGGTAATTCCTCTGAGAATCTTTAAACACTGGAAGATTAAAAAAAATCTCTGTTGGTTTCACATTCATCCTGCTTTAAAGTGAATCTCTTTGTGCTGCCGTAGGATCCAGAGTGATGCTAGTGAGAGCAAGTAGAAATTAGATGAAGAAAGATTATTGTTATAAGTAAGTAAAATATGAATGTTTATAATTATAAGTATGCTAGTACAATTAATATGATCATAAATAACCTAATATAATTATAAATATGGTTGTAATTATTACATGTATTATCATTATTACTATAAGTATATCTGTTATTTTTTCCTTTTTTTTGTAAAATGAAATGTCTGGACAATACTGTCTTCAAAATATTTATATATAAATAAGAAACTTGACTTAAAAAAAAAAGAATGTAGAGAATGGCATGCAAAAAGAAGCGGTGACAGGCAAATAAAGAAAAGGTATTTGATGGGCCATATTCTAACCCCAGATTGATGTTTTGATGTATCTCAAATCTACTATATGCAGTTGCCACGTTGGAGCACTTAACCAGAAACATATCATGAGATGACATAAGAAATAATAGGTGATTTCTTCTCCTTTATTGGAAAACTTATTTATGCTTTTAGTGGCTCACTGAATCAAGCGCTCAATTGCAAACATTTCTATAAGGCTTAGCACTTGATGCAAAGAAATAGACTTACTGGATAAACTCTTGAATTTATTTCTTTCATTGTCGTGAGTCACCCAGAACTCCTGAGAATCAGGCAGTATATAGTACAATTTGATAAATTATTATCATCATAAAGCCAAAAAAAAAATAAAAAAAAAATAAAACCCTTCCTCTAATTACCTTCCCAGGGACCAAAGGAACAATAAACTCAGTCAGTCATAAAACATTGAGAAAGCCAAGGGGAAAAAAAAAACTCGGTGAAACCAGGAGAAAATACAAGGAGCCACTGGAAACCAAGACCAGTTAAAGATAAACCCCATAATTAAGAAGCAACTATGTACACAGAATACCCTCTTTGTTCTCTCAGTGGACGGTTATTTCTGGAGTTCCACCTCATTATCCCCAAGAATTCACCCCATATTTGACCTTTGCTGACTCATAGGATGCTGCTCTTACCAATCCATTTCCCCGCTGCAACCAATTAGAGGTATATCTTCATTTGCATGACATTATAGAGAGGGATTGGATGCTGGCCTTTTTTTTTTTTTTTTAGGTTAGGGTCAGCTGCCTCCGGTACCGCAGTACTACGTTTCAACTGGTCTCCAACCTAAAGAAACTTTTATAAGGAAAAAAGGATGAGATATGTTCCTTCTCTCTAAAGGAGCAATTAATTTATGACAGTAGGGTATCTATCACCTATCACCTAATCTATCTAATCTATCACCTATCATCTAATCACCAAGATGATGAGGGGACTGGAGGCTAAAACATACGAAGAACGGTTGCAGGAACTGGACATGGCTAGTCTAGGGAAGAGAAGGACCAGGGGAGACATGAGAGCAGTCTTCCGATATCTCAGGGGCTGCCACAAAGAAGAGGGAGTCAAGCTATTCTCCAAAGCACCTGAAGGCCAGAAAAAGGAATAATGGATGGAAACTGACCAAGGAGAGATTCAACCTAGAAATGAGGAGGAACTTTCTGACACTGAGAACAATCAACCCATGGGACAGAAGTTGCCTTCGGAAGTTGTGGCAGCTTCATCACTGGAGGCTTTCAAGAAGAGACTGGACTGCCATCTGTCAGAAATGGAGTAGGGTTTCCTGCTTGGGGAGAGGGGGTTGGACTAGATGACCTACAAGGTCCCTTCCAACTCTGGTAATCTGTATCTATATAATCTGTATCTTTACCTGTGGCATTCAATTGACACCAGCCAGATGGAAAGGTGCATTCAAACAGGCCTTGAAAGAAATTAGGCATTTTTCCCCCCTGTGCAAAAGACACCTGTGTTTCTAGCATACAGGTAAAATGCAACAGTTCGTTTAGTGACAAATCAAAGTTACCCCAACATCGAAAAAAGTGAATTATGACCGTTTTTCCACACTTGCAACCCTTGTGGCAACCTCTAGGTCACATGACCAAAATTCAGACACTTGTCCACTGACGAAGCTCCTTCAGTTCTTCTTGGATCATCATCATCATCATCTCCTTTTAATGACACCCGTAATCCCTTGCATCGGGGTGGAGTCTGGGCAACTGAATGGAGATGAGTGTTTAATGGACGGATGCCCTTCCTGTCGCCAATGCGGAGTTTTGTTCGGCAGATATAATTCTCATTGCGCCCAGAGAGAGAGAAATATCTGCCTCTACCTAGGATCGAACTCACAGTCTCCTGATTGTGAGGCCAGAGCTCCACCTCTAAGCCACCGCACCCACTCCTTCAGTTCTTCTTGGTTGAGAAGCGAAATGTTTTCAGGAAAAAAAATAATAAGAAGAAAGTCCAGTTGCCTTTTGAAAAGCAATTTGGAGCAACCACGATCTGGAGGATTGAGAACCTCCATAGACTTCTTGGCAGTGATTTTGACTTGACTTTTATCGATGGATGTGAAGGAGGATGTGTGAGTGACATTTCATCATTCTGGACCTTCTCCGATTCCCCAGTCAGTTAATTAAGAGCCGTGGGTGGAGTTCGGGCATAGCATATTCCCTTGATAGGTATCTGAAGCCTATGAGGCTGTTGAGTAGATGATGCAACGAAATTCACCTTTATTTAGCAACCTTTAAATCAAGCTTTCTCAATGTTGGCCACTTTAAGACCTGTGGACGTCAATTCCCAGAATTCCCCAGCCAGCCATTCTGGGAATCGAAGTCCACCAATTCCCAAAATGGCTGGCAGAAGGGAAGTCCAATTAAAGCAGCCAAGACTGGAAAAAACAAACAAACAAACACTGTAGTTTAGGCACTTTTATCAATAAATCAACCCTTTGTTCCTTTCCAACGGAATTCCTCCTTTGGAAAGAAAAACTAAAAGCTAATATCCTTTCCCCAATTCGAATATCAACTAGAAGAGGAGGAAAGGAATTGGCAAGGAGCTAGCTCTCAAGTGTTCTGATTTATTATTATTATTATTATTATTATTATTATTATTATTATTATTATTATTATTTATTTTATCATATTTGTATACCGCCCTACTCCCGAAGGACTCAGGGCGGTGAACAGCCAAGATAAAATACAAAGACATACAAAAGTTTAAAAACTATTAAAAACAGATTAAATAATTTAGGCTCAAAAAAAACAAATTTAAGACATCCAATTTATCTAAAAAACATTTAAAACCCAATTTAAAAGGGAGAGTTAGGCCAGACCAGCCTGTTGGAATAAAAACGATTTACTTTTGTGGCGGTAAAGATTGCACCGCAAAGCTCTGGAGGTAACAACTTGGCTCACGGTTTTTCATACAAGAAGCCCGCAATTTCGCCTTCCCAATGCTTGCCAACGACAACTTCTATCAACACAACGGGAGAACAGGAATTCTCTTTAAAAAAACCCTCATTTTTAGTCTTAAACAGCAACGATTGAAAGTAAAAAAAAATCCATGGACCAACTCAGAGTTAAAGTTGTATTTAGCCTGCTGCATAACGAAAGAAGTCGATTTAATTTTATCTAACAGAAATAAAGGAAAATTAGCGAGCTGCAAAGCTAGCTCTTTGATTCTGAAATCTACACTGGCAAAAGGATTTTGGGTATATTAATCTTCCCACTTTGTAGTTCTTTCTGAAACGACGTCGTTCGATTTTTCTGAAACTTTCAGGACATTTAACAGGCGTAAAAACCAATTTTGAAAATCAAAACGGCGGGATCCAATTTTCAATTTGAGCACCTCATCGTGATTCAGTGAGTCAGGATACGGATGAAAGCTTAGTTAAGAGGCACAGAAACTCCGCAGTGGATTTACAGAAGTGCCTCTTTCTGGAATATTCTTAGAAAAAGTCATGTTTCTGTTATCCCAAGAAGTGAGAATTTTATGAAACGGGCCTTTTCCCGGCCTTCCCAAACTTCCGGAAGGCCTATTTTTCACCCTCCGTGACCCTCCGTGCGTGCCTTGCATCCAAAACGGGCCACGTGGGGACTCCTGGGAGGGGCAGGGCGGGGTGGACGGGGCCAGGCAGGAGTGGGATTTGGGGGTTCTCCGAACTGCACAGAATCTTAGCTAGAGGTTCTCCCAGGGGTGAAATCCAGCAGGTTCTGGAGAACCAGTAGCGGAAATTTTGAGTCGTTCGAAGAACTGGCAAATACCACCTCTGGCTGGCCCCAGAGTGGGGTGGGAATGGAGATTTTGCAATATTCTTCTCCCAGGAGTGGGGAGGGAATGGAGATTTTGCAGTATCCTTCCCCTGATATGCCTACCAAGCCACGCCCAAGCCACACCATGCCCACCAAGCCACACCCACAGAACCGGTTGTAAAAAAAATTGGGATTTCACCACTGGGTTCTCCCGAACCCCTCCGAACCCCAAGCAGCCCACCCCTGATTTTAGATAAATGCCTGTCCAATCTCTTCTTAAAAACTTCCAGTGGTAGACCATTCACAACTTCTGGAGGCGAGCAGTTCCACTGTCTGATTGTTCTTACCATCAGGAAACTTCTCCTAAATTCCAAGTTGGTTCTCTCTTTGATTAGTTTCCATCCATTGCGTATTGTCCTGCTTTCTGATGTTTTGGAGAATAGATTGACCTCTCTCTTCTTTGGGGCAGCCCCTCAAATATTGGAATACGGCTATCATGTCACCCCTAGTCCTTCTTTTCCTTAAACTGCAACCTGCAAAAGAGCCTGGTGGCACAGCAGACTAATAGCCTGTTATTAACATTCAGCTGCCTGCAATTACCGCAAGTTCGAATCTCCCCAGGCTCCAGGTTGACTCAGCCTTCCATCCTTTCTAAGGTAGGTAAATTGAGGACCCAGTTTGTGGGGGCAATAAGCTGACTTTGTATAAATATACAAAAGGATGAAGGCTATTGCTTAGCGCATTGTAAGCCACCCTGAGTCTCCGGAGAAGGGCGGCATATAAATCAAATTAAAAAAAAAAACCTTAAACAGTCAAAGAGCCACAAAGGTCCTAACTGGAAGTCTCCCATTTAATTCTGGAGCCGACCGGATGTCCAGTTTCCCCACCATAGAGTCTCCTAGCACTGCGTCTTTTTTCCTCTACTTGCCCAAAAGCTCGATCAATTGTGGAGCTGACCAGCGACAGGGAGCCGCAGCAGAGGGATGAAAGAGCCACATGCGGCTCCAGGGCCGCAGGTTGCTGACCCCTGAACTAAGACATACCCAGTTCCTGCCACCATTCTTCATATATTTTAACCTCCAGTCCCGTAATCATCCTAATTCCTCTTCTCCGCACTCTTTAGAGATATAATGTCAGTTTCTTAGTGAACTGCGTAGGCCGGCTTTCTCCAGTATTCCTCATTGGTAAGAAATCATGTAAATATGACATATTCTTAACACCAACAGAAGTGATGTTTGATTTCCTATTCATGCTGAGATACAGCTATAAAAATAATGAACGTATCACAGTCAGAAATGGACACATTTCAGAATTCTGGGCAACGTTAGGGAAACTCCTTTGTCAAACTCATAAACTCCATTTTTTTTTTGAAAATCAGTTTATTCAGTTTACATATCATAAATAATTTGTTCAGTGGGGGAAAAAAAAGCGCACCTTTCATTCACATTTATTTCATTTCCAGCGGTCTTTTTATTTTTTTAAGCGCGCCAAAGGAACGCCAATCCAAAACGCAAATCGCAGCGGCCCAGCTCACTCGCTCTCACACCCACACAATTCTAGGAAATAGACAGATAAATATTATCTTTTAAAATGAAATTCTTAAAGGCGCGAAGGTCAGCGGTCTGAAATGCCCAGATTACAGAGAGAAGGTAGCTGGCAGGAATGGAAGGAAGCTAAGAAAGCATAACAGATCTACAGTTGATCTGAAATAAATCTCTTTAAAAGAAAAAGATGCAGCTGCAAGGTAGGTAGAAATCCAACAGGGAACGTTCTCTGCATCACTGCAAATGTATGGTGACAACAGGGCTGGGTTCTACTTTCCTTTACTACTGGTTTGAAACGGGATCGCGCTCGCGCATACGCAGATCGCTACTGACAACGTCAGGGTCAGTGGACGGAGTCTTCCACCAGTTTTACTACCGGTTCTATAGAACCGGCCCGAACCGGGGGCAACCCACCACTGGGTGACAAGAACGGGCTGTTCTTGAATTTCTGCACGTCCAAAGGTGTGTGGGAACCTGTGACTGTTCTCTGGGAAGCGACAACTTTTCCGTTGCATTTCATTGTCTTTCTTTGCAGCACAATTACGGAACTAACCAACTCAACTGATGGGCTCCACAATACATTAAGCACAAGTCAGCAAAAGGAGGAACAAAACAAACAAATAAACCTCAATGCAAGGTCTGAACCCCAATGTGAATGTCATGCTTGGCGGTGATCCCACAACACAATGACTCACAACAGACTGAAGCCTAGTTTATTGCATTGTAGAAACATACAATCCTGATGTCCTGGTTTGCCACCATTTTTCTGCATTTTGTTGATAGCACCAATGGAGGCACGGAGCTGGTTGGCCCTTAGTGTTGATAAGGGTTTGTGTATCATGGCTTCTTCCAGGGGTGAAATGCTACTGGTTTGCTTTGGTTCGGGCGAATCGGTAGTGATAAAAACTACCAGTTTGGGTGAACCGGTAGTAAAAAAAAAAGCTTTAAAAAGGTAAAAAAATGGGTTCTGAACAACCACCGGCACAGCTTATTGACAATCAGCTGTGCCGCCTAATCTTCAGAACCTTTTTCTTTCTTTCTTTTTTTTTTACTTTTTTAAAGCATTTTTTACTACTTATTTGCCGGAGCCGGTAGTAAAAAAATCTTTTAAAAAAAAAAAAGGATCGTGCAAGCACAGCTGATTGTCAATCAGCTGTTGTTAATCAGCTGTGCCGCTCGAGCATCGGAACCTTTTTTTTCTTTTTTAAAGATTTTTTTTTTACTACCGGTTCCAGCGAATAGGTAGTAAAAAATGCTTTAAAAAAGTAAAAAAAAAAAAAGTTGGCCACGCCCACCCAGTCATATGGCCCACGCCCAGCAAGCCACGCCCACCAAGCCATGTCCACAGAACTGGTAGCAATAATTTTTTCCATTTCACCATTGGCTTCTTCGATGGGTCTTCAAAGGATGCTACTTTGTCTTAACTGAGGGACAAAGAGCCAGGTGTGAACTGACCGTACGCAACATCACACTTCTGCTGCTTTCCCATATCGTATCTGGGTATCTCGTCCATTCCTGTAACCCAAACATTCTGCTACTTTTTCTGCAATATTTGGGGCATTCATACTTGGACATATTGTGGCTCCCCTTAGTTTAATATTCTCTCTCTCTCTCTCTCTCTCTCTCTCCCTCCCTCCCTCCATCCCTCTCTCTCTCTCTCTCTCACACACACACACACAGACACACACTGCATTGCTCTGTCCAATCACAATTTTGTGGGAGAGGAGGTACAGAAAGAGATTAGAAAGTAAGCAGTTGACTTTCCAATCAGAAGAAAAGGAAGGTCCTGGGGACGTCCTGGCTTGGAAGGGCTTAGGGATCTCTCTTTAAAATGGATCTGATTGTCTGCAATCTTCGGTCCCTGGAAGTGAGGTGGGTACAATCTCTTATTAAGGCAGAGTGATGAGGGATTGGCACCCTTAAGAGGCCAGAGATCTACATTCCCACCTCCTCTGGCATTAAGGAGCCAATTGAAACCAAGAGTTGGGCTCGGTGATCCACCCAGATGATTACGCAGCATATCTACATCAGAGGCATTTTGGCAAACTGCCATCGTCAAAGCTGTCCAGGGATGGCATAATCCCTTGGATACTGGTCACTGGAAGCACATGGCATAGTGGTAACTGACAGTCGGTTGTAGGAGACCAGCTGTCCTACAGCCTTCTCGAATAATCTCTTATTCTTGCATAAAATGATGTAGGATATCAGTGTGATGTCCTTCCAGATTCCGACGTCATCATGGCTTTAAGTTTCCTCCTTCTGGGGGCTCCAGGTAGCAACTGTAGAACATTCTGGAAGCTCACAAGCTTTGTCTGGAAGGTCCTCTATCCATTCTGCTACCTACTTGGTGTCTAATCCTTTCTAGGAGATTGTCCAGGAAGGACATCTATCCTCTTTGTCTTCATTTTTTAAAAAACAACAACAAAAAAGCAGGCACAAATCTGATTGTGGTCAAGAAGCTTCAAAAGTCAAGTCAAGATGGAGAACAGTCTTCATTTTGTTGTTCTCCATCTTTTGACAACATTACATTGATTGTAGTCTCTGCCTGTAAATCTGAAGATGCCTCCTTCTACAGGCGAAGATGGAGAGACTCACTCCAAAACATGCTTAGGAGGCATCTCACAGGGGTTCTCCCTCCCTCCCTCCATGCCGTACCCCTTCCTTTTTTCAGTCCCAGGTGGCCACCTTGGTAGTCCTACCCAGAGCTCCAGGAAGGAAGGTTGAAGACAAGTTCTCCCAGTCCAAAAAAACAAGATGGCTGCTCAGCTGTCCTGCTAAGTCTCTTCATCCCACAGGCAGAGCTGCTTCTGGGGCACGTAGTAATCAAAACTGTAGGCCTTCTGGCAGCTGCGGATGCCACACTTGTAAGAGGTTGTCTTTCCAGCTGCATCTCGGCTCTTGCAATACTTCAGCATGCAGGGATACCACTCAATGTTCAAGGCGTAGCTGCAGATGCAAGGTTTCCAATGGTCTGGGCAGACCCGGCAATGTTGCAGGCCAGGTAGGTCGGCAGACTGAGGCAGGACCTCAAACATGGAGCCGTCCACCCCTGCAGGAGAGACAGGCAGAAGAGAGGGGGGGAAAGGGTCAATTCCTCTAGTTAGGTCCTTCCTCCTTGATCATCTTGTCAGATTATTCATGAACTGGCAGAGACATGGTATCAAGGTCAGTCAATGAATAGGCATAGCAACTAAATAAGCCAAATGGGAGCTGAGACAGACTGGAGCCAGGGTGTATCTTAGTCTGCAGCTTCTGAGTCTGTGCTGAGAAACGAAACTGAAACCAGTGTGTGTGTGCTTGTCTGCTCTGCTGAAATGAAACTAACTGTTCTCTCCTGCCTTGTGTTCTGCCTGTAACTTTTACCACATTGAAAGAACTCTGCTATTGGTATTGTAAAATTTACTTCATGTTATTATGTATATAAAGAAAAGTTAATGAATCCTGCTGAATCAGTTATCTGTGTGTGCCTCTGGATTTAATTTTTGCAAGAAACTCTAACACATCTTCCACCAGAAGTCCTCCTTTTCTCATTAACTATTCTGTCCTTCTCCTGCAGAAGCTGGGAAGTGCCTTCGCCAGACTCCTCTCGCTACTAATTGTATGCCTGAACTGCAGAAAATCTCACTCCAAAGTTAGGCTGTTCCATCCTCGAAATGGACCAGCAATATTATTCTGGAATGGTCCAGCCTCAAATGGACACAAGATCTATTTCTGCTGGCAAAACATTCAGAATGGGTTTTTTTCACCTGGGCTTTTTGGTTTTTCTTGGAAGACGTTTCGCTTCTCATCCAAGATGCTTCTTCAGCTCTGACTTTCACTTCTCATCCAAGCTTCTTTTTCCAAGAAAAACCAGAAAGTCCAAGTTGCCTCTTGAAAAAAAGCATCTTTAAGGACAACCATGACCTGGACGACTGAGAATCTCCATAGATCTTCAGAATGGCCTGTCTTACAGTCAGATGGCTTCCTAAATGGAACATTTTGCACACTTAATCCTTAAGAAAAGCTCACCTATTTCCACGAAAGCTTTGAATTAGCCCTTCTATCCTAACCCTTCAGCTGACGTTCATCTCCCATTTTCCATACCTACAAAGCAGTATTGTGTCAGCGTCTCAGCGCTGACATAGAAAAGGGAGATAAGCCCTGAATTTTTGCCTGCTGAATCCCTTTGAAGCCCGGTCTCCGTGGAAATGAAGAGGGGGGGAACATTCCTGTGAAATGACGAGACAAGAAGTCAGGAGAGTGACTTGGAAGATAGCCAATGAGAAGCAGATAATTGGGGATCGGAAAGGGAGGGATTGGGGGGGCAAAAGGTCAGTCTTGTCCGCATCGAGTCATGATCCGGTTGCTGTGCTCGAATAAAGAGAAGATTTCCTTAAAGATTGGCAGTTTGGAAATTCATTTATTTTGAGATAGCATCGAAGTCTGACAATTTGTTTCAAAAGGGAAAATATAGCAGACAATCAAATATTTGATTGTCAGCTGGCATTGAGCCACGGTGGTGCAGTGGTTAGAGTGCAGTACTGCAGGCTACTTCTACTGACTGCCGGCTGCCTGAAATTCGGCAGTTCGAATCACACCAGGCTCAAGGTTGACTCAGCCTTCCGTCCTTCCAAGGTAGGTAAAATGAGGACGCAGATTGTTGGGGGCAAGAGGCTCACTCTGTAAACTGCTTAGAGAGGACTGTAAAAGCACTGTGAAGTGGTATATAAGTGCTATTGTTATCTTCCTTTCTTCCTTCCTTCCTTCCTTCCTTCCTTCCTTCCTTCCTTCCTTCCTTCCTTCCTTCCTTCCTTCCTCCCTTCCCTTCCCTTCCCTTCCCTTCCCTTCCCTTCCCTTCCCTTCATATTGCAAGCTAACTCTGCCAACTGCCATCACTTCCATCCTGATGGGCTCAAGGTTGACTCAGCCTTCCATCCTTCCGAGCTGAGTAAAATGAGGACCCTGATTGTAGTGGGCAAGATGCTGACTATGTAAACCGCTTAGAGAGGACTGTAAAGCACTGTGAAGCAGGTATATAAGTCTAAGTGCTGTTGCTATTATCCCCGTGCGGGAGGCATTACGAGATGGAGGGATCATTAACTCCGTCTCCTGACGGTTGAAGTGCCTCCTACCTTTCTCCATCCAGAACTTCACATCTTCTTCTCGGCTGTAGATGGTCTCCTTGGCCTCCGAACAGATATTGTAGATGTGAGAGCTCAACTGGGCCCCTTTGCTGAAGTTGACAGCTACATCCATGCTGAGGTGCTCGAGCGCACGGACCTCCTCTGCCTGCCGCACCGTCTGTGGGTTTTCTGGCAAGGAGAAAAAAAAATGGAGGGACATCAGCATTTCCATCCCTGATATCAATCTTAAACTTGGTGGCTGATGATCCTTGTTTTCTTGCAGATGTTTCATGACCCAACTAGGTAACGTTATCAGTGCTAGAGGGAAGTGGGGTTTGCTCTCAGTTTACGTAGAAGTGGCTTGTCCTGTTGGTGGGAGTGTTGGCTTTTTGTGGCGGCCTCTCTGTAGCTTTGGTTGTTTTCTTGTAGACATTTTCATTACCCAACTGCTAGAGGGGAGTGCCACAGACATAAACCCCACTCCCTTCTAGCACTGATGATGTTATCTACTTGGGTAATGAAACGTCTTCTTGAGAAAAAAATAACAAGCTCAGAGTTTCACCATGGACCCCACAGTCCAACCCTGAGCTACAAATATTCTCTTCAATCAGATAATTAAACTTTATTTTTTCCTGTCACCAGATGACGAGGGATTGGGGTCCTAACTTAACTAAACAAGAATTTTGGACCACTTCATTCATTTCTGCCCTCGTTTTTGCAGGACTTTCAAATAGAAAAACCAGGGGAAAGAATGGCAAAAATTGTTTAAAGACGAATGGAGGGGAACGTTCATTTGAATTAAAAACATGAGATGGCTAAGATTTGTTTTTTTTCCAAATGACCCATAAGCTGCCCTCTTCCTAGGGTGGCTGGCTCTTTTTACAGAGGCTGTTTTTTTCCCCCCATGTACCGAATAATGTTGGACGATGCAACTTTGCAAGACGACCAAGTCATTCCAGGAAGTTTCGCACAGAAGGCGAGAGAGAGCCTTCCCGAAGGATTCGTGACCACTGGAAGCACAAGATGCATTTTAAACATCACAAGAATAATAAAAGGGACTTCCAACGTCACTGAAAACATTTTTTCCTAAAAGGAAAAAAATGCATGTCGGTCAAACATTTGCTTTGGGATCCACCAGAGGGCCCCTATTCTTATACCTCCTCATTTACAAATATGAATAACCAGACTGACTTGTCATAAATAAATAAATTTTTAAAAAAAGAAATGATGACAAACAGTCAGGCCTGGAGACAGCTTGACACATCTTTGTTTCTGCGGAAACCTGACTAAGAGATCCAGAGAATAACAAGGAACGCAGACTGTGGGTTGAAAAGGAAATTAATCTCAGCCAAAGTTGCGACACGGATGCAACCTTCTTACTTGTCGTAGTTTGGCCATGGACTCGCTGGGAATGATTTCGTTGCGATGCAACCTGGTGACAAAGCAAAGAGCTTGGAACTGGCTCTGTCCCCGTTCAAATTCCCCGAGGATCAGGGCTCGGAAGATCTTTACCTCCTACGAGAGGGGGAAAAAAAAAAAAAACAAAACACACCGATAAGTTTTTGGATTCAGGAGACAAGGAAAGACAAGCGCTTTGACCCGCCTCAAGGTCTTCCCATCGTGGCAGTGAAGAAGCGGCATGGAAATCTGGACCGTTATGTAGCATGGAAAAATGCCAGGTGGCAATCCTATCCCAGAAACCCATTTGCCAAACTTGGCATCTGACGAGAGCCTAAGAGGAAGCTGGCAACTGTGCTTCTTCCTTTTGGGCTTTCTGGCCAAGAGGAGTCTACCTGCAGCTGTAGCAGGAAGTAGCTGGTAGATGAACAGGACAAGTTACTGCTAAATGAAAGGAAGGGAGGGAGGGAGGGAGGGAGGGAAAGGAAGAAAGAAAGAAAGAAAGAAAGAAAGAGAAGAGAAAGAGGAGAAAGAGAGAGAAAGAAAGAAAGAGAGAAAGAAAAAGGAAAGAAAGAAAGAAAGAAAGAAGAAAAGAAAGAAAGGAAAGAAAAAGAAGAAAGAAAGAAAGAAGGCTGATGGATAGGAGGAAGGAAGGAAGGGTAAATGATTAATAGGAGGAAGGAAGGAATAAAGAAAGAAAGAAGGCTGATGGATAGGAGGAAGGAAGGAAGGAAGAGTAAATGATTAATAGGAGGAAGGAAGGAAGGAAGAAAGAAAAAGGAAGAAGAAAAGAAAGGCTGTAGATAGAAGGAAGGAAGGAAGATGAATAAATGATTAATGGAAGGAAGGAAGGAAAGAAGGCTGATGGATAGAAGGAAGGAAGGAATGGTAAATGATTAATAGAGGAAGGAAGGAAGGAAGGAAGGAAGGAAGGAAAGAAAGAAAGAAAGAAAGAAAGAAAGAAGGGCTGATAGATAGGAGGAAGGAAGGAAGGACGAATAAATGATTAAGGAAGGAAGGAAGAAAGGAAGGAAGGAAGGAAGGAAGGAAGGAAGGAAGGAAGGAGGGACTATGATGGAAGAAAAGAAAAGTAAATGTAATTTTCCCTTGCCTAGACTTCCTCACTCAACCCTGAAAGACACCGTCAAACACAATGCAAAGTCACAACATTAATTTTTTAAAATAAATAAATAAATAATTTTTTTTCCCCCAAACACCAATTAAATCGAAGCAAAGTCTCTGGAACTGTCAGCCCTTCAATTTTCCTGTTTCTTCCTCCAGCTCTGGGTTTGCCAGACTGCAAGGGAAGAAAGAAATCTCAAAGGCGAACGAAGCCTGCTCCCTCCGATGTCCACGAGAGCCCCATCGTGACAACAAGCCCTCGCGTTGTGTTATGATGACACGTCCTTTCTCAGCTGTTGCGTCCCTCACAAATTCAGACTCTCGGGCGCTTGACTTGTCCCAGGCCAGTGATTCGGAATCTAGTAGACCTTCTACCTGCTATCTTGTACATCAGAGGTCTTCAAACTTGGCAGCTTTAAGACTTGTGGACTTCAACTCCCAGAATTCTCCAGCCAGCTGGCTGGAGAATTCTGGGAGTTGAAGTCCACAAGTCTTAAAGCTGCCAAGTTTGAAGACCTCTGATGTACATGTTTGACAAACTATTAAATAAATAAATAAAAAATAAACCCTCCTCAACATTGACTAAGCCCTTCCTGGAGATGAATCCTCCTCCCTTCCAGACATTTGTGTCCCAGGGATGAGTCACTGCCTCCGTTCCCGTCAATCGCTCCGAGGAGCCACACAAAAGAGGAAACATCTGGACACCTCGCAGCTGAGATCTGGCAGGCTTGAAGAAGAGACGCGGGAGGCCAAGAGCTTCCAAGAGACACACTCACCCAAAAAGCAAAGCTCCTCTGGCGAGCTAAGCTGAAAAAAAAAGGCAACATGGATGAACCACCGAGTCCTACGCTTTCAACTTTTCACTCAGTCTCTCCATTCGAGGAAAACTCGTCCTTGTCCCGTTTCTGCAGGTAGTCCTCAATTTACGACAGTTCTCTTAGTGACCGTTCGAAGGTACAACTTTGGCAATCTTCTGACAAGCAAGAATCCACAGATTCACTTAACAACCAGGTTGCTAACTGCAGTGTCTCACCTTAACAATTGTGGCAAGGAAGGTGGCAAACTGGAGCAAAACTCACCTAACAAATGTCTCACTTAGCGACATAAATGTAGGGCTCAATTGTGGCCCTACGTCGTACGGACAACCTGTGCTTCCCTGCTAGACCTGGTGGCCCCTGAAGTCCCCTGTGGGTGGAAGACTTCAGGGAGGAAACGTTGCGTTAACACACCGCTGTGGAAATTTGGAGCTTAGCCCTCTATTCAACTCTGGTATTTCCAGGAAGGGAGAGAAATCATATTCAGGGACTGCCAATCTTCTCCGGGAACGTCCTCCGGAGACACCACATGCCTGCATTGCAAGGGAGGCCTGGATGCAGTGAAACAAAGCTCAACAGACAACGCTACGCTCTGCCTTTTCCACCCCACCCTCCTAGGATATCTACAGGCAGTCCTTGACTTCCAAAGCATTTGTTTAGCAAACAAAAAGAAAAAAATATATATTTGCAGCTCAGGGGTTGAGGTGAAGGGGTCCTTGGTGCTCTCTGAGCCTTGGTGGGTTCCTTGAAGATGTTTCATGACCCAGCTTGGTAACATTATCAGTGCTAGAAGGGAGTGGGGTTGAGAGGAGGAGGAGGAGATTTGTAGGATCCTTGGTGCTCCCTGAGGTTGGTGGTTTCCTTGAAGACGTTTCATGACCCAGCTTGGTAACATTATCAGTGTTAGAAGGGAGTGGGGTTGAGAGGAGAAGGAGGAGATTTGTAGGATCCTTGGTGCTCCCTGAGGTTGGTGGTTTCCTTGAAGACGTTTCATGACCCAGCTTGGTAACATTATCAGTGTTAGAAGGGAGTGGGGTTGAGAGGAGAAGAGGAGATTTGTAGGATCCTTGGTGCTCCCTGAGGTTGGTGGTTTCCTTGAAGACGTTTCATGACCCAGCTTGGTTACATTATCAGTGCTAGAAGGGAGTGGGGTGAGAGAGGAGGAGAGAGGAGGAAGAGGAAGAAGAGATATGTGGGATCCTTGGTGGTCTCTGAGCTTGGTGGTTACCTTGTAGATGTTTCATGACCCAACTAGTAGCATTATCAGTGCTAGAAGGGAGGGGAGTTTACAGAAAGGAGGAGGAGGAGGAGGAGGAGGAGGAGGAGAGGAGGAGGAGGAGGAGGTTAGGAGGAGGAGGAGGAGGAAGAAGAAGAAGAAGAAGAAGAAGAAGAAGAAGAGGAGGAGGAGGAGGAGGAGGAGGAGGAGGAGGAGGAGGAGAGGAGAGAGGAGGATGTGGGAAGAGATCTGTGGGATCTTCGCTGCTCTCTCTCTGAGCGTGGTGGTTTCCTTGTAGACGTTTCATTACCCAACTAGGTAGCATTATCAGTGCTAGAAGGGAGGGGAGTTTACAGAAAGGAGGAGGAGGAGGAGGAAGAGGAGACGGTGAAAATCCAGACTCCGACTAGCAAGTCATGTCCTGCAAGAGACTGTAACTTTGGTGCGCACACACAGACAAATAACTACGCCACTCCTCTTTTTACACAGAGTTGTAATTCTGCAATCCTAATTGCACGTTTCGGAATCAAAGCTTGCCCGCTCTTTAGCTGGGATGGGCACATCAACCCCAAACCTGGAAGCGAAAGTCCGGCTTTTCCAACTGACCCTTCCGTTCCTTCGCCTGGAAAGAATTCGCAGCAGCAACCTAATTCCATCTGACATGTGTCAGGAAGGATGAAGCGCAGTGAACGTACAATATGGGGTGGGGGGAAGTTTCTCTGCTTGTCCTCACCCCTCCCGACAGATGTCCCAGGCTGATAATTGATCAATTGGGAATGCAATCAAATCATAATTGGATGTCTTCCCCCCTTCCTCCCCAGTGGGTATTTCTGATGGACAAGTGGTCCCTTATTAAGTCACAGTCACAGACACACTCAAAAGAGGCTTCTTTCCAAGCAAACAAGTATAAAAAATTAGGCGCACACAGTACCTAAGGAAATAAGGAAGTCAGCCACTAAAAAAAAAAAAATGAATAAATGGAAGCATTTGTTGGAATGTTAAAAAGCTCAGCTCAGTGGCTCTTTTGCACTTTTTTTTTTTTAATTTGATTTATATGCCGCCCTTCTCCGGAGACTCAGGGCGGCTTACAGTGCGTTAAGCAATAGCCTTCATACTTTTGTATATTTATACAAAGTCAGCTTATTGCCCCCACAAACTGGGTCCTCATTTAACCTACCTTAGAAAAGATGGAAGGCTGAGTCAACCTTGAGCCTGGCAAGATTCGAACCTGCAGAAATTGCAGGCAGCTGTGTTAATAACAGGGTGCTTTAGACCACTGTACTACCAAGGCCCCTTATCGGAGTTCACCAGGAAACCCTGGTTAGTTTGGGAAGTTGAAAAAAAAAAACTTGGAAGAAAGAAATAGGTAGATAAGTGTTTCGCTGGCTGGGGAATTCTGGGAGTTAACGTCCATGCAGCTCAAAATTGTCAAGGTGGAGAAACACTGCTCCACCACTAAGAGAGATGCATGGACCTATCGCTGAAATCTGAAATGGTGTAGGGCCATGACGGCGAATTGATGGCACGAGCGCCACCGATGGCACCCAGAGTCCTCTCTGCAGGCACGCAGGCCATCACCCAGCTCAACTCCACCCCGCATGTGTGTGCACCTCCCACCGGCAGGCTGAAACCATTAGCGTTGCCCATACAGCTGTCAAGAGTCCCGTCTGATCCAAGAGCACCTCATTAATCCTTCAAAGAGGACTTAAGGGGAGGGGGAACCCCCATGTTTCTGATATTTCTGGTGTCTCTCCCATGTTCAAGACGTCGTTGAAGGTTCCACCAAAAGTGAGATCCAGAGAGGGCATGGAAAGCCCTTTGCTAATGTCTTGTAAATGAACTGGTGCAATTTAATCCTGAAAAATCTAGAAAGAGTGCAGAGAAGAGCAACTAAGATGATTAGGGGACTGGAGGCTAAAACGTATGAAGAACGGTTGCAGGAACTGGGTATGTCTAGTTTAATG